CCAACTGATCTGCACCTTCTTAAAGACACAGGAGCGGTCTCATTTGTAAGCCTGGGCTCCCTGTATTTATACTGTGTGTATGCAGTCTGAAGTGTCACCAACTCTGGACCCACCGAACATCAGACTTCCACTCACTCCGTTCGACTAAAGAGGTTTCGGTGAAGGCACTATTGAAATGGGTGGTCTTGTTCAAGGCTTTCAAATGCGTTCCAACCGATAGGGACCCAGGGCACAACCGAACAAAACGCTTCTGGGTCCTGCGCCATCCTCACACCTGTGGCTGCGTTTGAGCCCATGGTTACACGCACTGTGACCATCCATCTGTAGATGGAGGGTGGGGACTTCTTTTTCTCTGACCTTCGATTTTGCTGAGCGTGATGCCCCCAGCGGTCACTTTCTGGTACTGCGCTGTGTCGTGGGTGTTGCCGCGATGGGAGGCTGTGCCTGTGAGATTTCAAACACATGCAGAGCCCCCACGGTGGGTGGCCAGGTTTCAGCAGAGCTCCCAGACTTAGGAGAGACCAAGAAGAAAGGCCTTGTGATTTGCGTCCTAAATAGATCACGGTGGAACATTGGCCTCCACGCAGAGCCCCCTGGCAGCCGCAGCGAGGGACTTGCACGCACCAATGATGAAGGCTGGTTCAGGTAGAGTCAAGAGGATCCTCAAGAGGAGGCAGCAGGAGGCTGGCAACAGCAGGAGGCGTGCACCATCCTGGGAGCTACAGAGCACCGGAGGGACTCATGGCCCCATAGCTGCGAACTGGAGCCAGAAAGGAGGGTCCCCGTCTCAGGAGCTGAAGTGCTGGAGGGACGCAGCCGCCACCGAGTCACGGAGGAAACACACCCCACCTCCCTTTGCTCCTGCCTCCCATCTCCTGCGGATGCTGATGCAAACCGCAAAACCAGAGTCAGGTGGTGCTTGCCAAAGAGGTCCCAACAAGGAGGGGAATGACAAGGGGGTGGCCGGGTCTGAAGGCAGGCAAGCGAGCAGACGTCTGAATAGTCGCCCTGTTATTTCACCAGCCCTGTTACTCAGAGGAAAACGTGATCCAGCTTGTTGAGGGTCTTTCTCCTTTGTTATCAACCTTCTGCTTCACCAAGCAGGATGTCTTTCTCTGGAAATTGGTCTCTCCTGGTAACATGTCCACTTTACAGAGGTCATGTGCAACCCACGTGCCCAACTCGATAACGTCATTTGGTTTCTTGACTGCTGCTCCCAAGAGCATTGATTGTGGATGTACGAAATTCCTTGACAACTTTGCTCTTTTCTCCGTGTCCCATGAGGCTGGCGATTGGTCCATCAGTGATGATTTTTGTTTCCTTTACAGTAGTCTGGGAGCTTCAGCTGTGCTTCAAGTCCTCTTGGCTGTCAGCAAGCAAGGCTGTGTCATCTCCACCTGGCAGGGTGTCAGCTTCCTTCCAGGTCTCACGCCTGCTCATTATGTCCGGCCTTGCAGCTGGGACAGCTCAGGCACCTAGAAACTGCGCTGCGGGAGTTGCCTCCACCAGAACTCTGCTGACAAGGTCACAGGGAATGAGGAGCAGGTGAGAACTCATGCGCACCTATCTGAAAGGCAGTGTAAGTCCTGCCTCTCTATCAGAGCCTCCTACGCATCACTTGCTCCCTGACTCCCGCCCGACCAGAACCTTGACTGATATAACTTCTCACACCTCATTTCTGGAGGAGCTGAGATTTTCGTGGCCCTGACTGTTGGGTTACTACCAGGGACCGATTACTCAAATAAGCAAAGAAAGCATGTGCTTGAG